TAGGCAAGATAACATTCTACTTTCAATTCTTGTTCGTAGCTTCATTGTAGTAGTGGCGCTCAGGAGATGGAGAACCAACAACCAGCGGATTCAACTCAAGAGCCTTCATTTGCTGACCTGCCGGACGAGACATTACGATTGTCACAACCTTCAAGACGACGCAATCGAGATGAAGATCTTCAAGAACGACATGTTCTTCCTTGAACAGATGGTGAGATACAACGCGTTTGGTATCACGCTTTGGGAAGGGACTTCCGATGTTTGGTGATTTTACTAGAGGAAGGAACAGCTCCTGATGGTATTCCAAATATTCTATTCGAAGGAAGTTACAAAGGCCTCAACAATGATCAAATAACTGGGTGGTCTTCCCGCCCTGGTATGGGACACTACTGATGGTTGAGAGGCCCTATCAATCATCTTCGAAGAGAACAGAGATCAGAGTATGTGGCGAATACAATTCATCGCATCATAGATTTTCTCAACATATGATGACCGCTCTTCATGGAACTCGTCCCTAGAAGGGGGGTAATGTCACGGCCATAATCATGTAAGCTAATAATTACATATAGAAATAGGTAGAAGTAAGTAAAAGTAGATAAAAGTAAGTTAATTCTATAATATTTAATATGGAAGCTTCCTAAAAACTTCCTAGACGCTCCTTTGACTTCATAGGTGTCTTTAATTGATTTTTTGGATTAGAAACGTGGTCAACAAGTTGGCCATGTGCCACATATGTCGTTAGCTTGAAGATCAAGCTAACTATGTGGCCTACACGTAGAAAAACTTGCCTTGTAAGTCAAGGCTTGTGCCCTACAAAGTCAACACATATTGAAGGTCCTATAGAATGTTGCCACGTAGCCTCTAGTTAGATAGTATATATAGAGACAAGAGTGAAGGCTTCTTCACTCTTGTCAACTCCTTTCTTGCTTCCAGTCTAGTTTCAAGGGTCTCTAGTTTTCTTGTCTTTTGGCAATAGCCATTCCAGTTTTTCTTTCAATATACATACTTGTTTATTTATATTTTGTTACCTTTCTTTGAGTGAAGGCTCACTTGTCTGAATTGTTTTTTCATCGAGTTCTTGTCCTTGACACATTAAGGATTTTGGAACAACTTAATCAAGCTAAGATCTATATCAAAATAGATGTCCTTGGAGCATATAATTTGGTATAAATTAAAGAAAGAGATGAATAGAAGATTATTTTGGACAAGATATGGACATTTTGAATATAATGTCATGTCTTTTGGATTGGCAAATGCTCTAGCTATATTCTAACATTTAATGAATGATATTCTTCAAGAATTCTTAAACAAGTTTATTGTCTATTATCTTGATGATATCTTAATCTACTCAAAGACTTTTGAAGAACATGAAGAACATGTAAGAATAGTCTTGCAAAAATTATAAGATATAAGATTATATACCAAATTAAAAAAATATATATTCTATTAGCAAAAAGTAGAATTTTTTTGATATATTATATCCAATAAAGGCTTGTTGATAGACTTAAAGAAAGTTTAAGCTGTAATAAAATACACAACTCTAAAGGCAATATGGGATATACAATATTTCTTTAAATTTTTTAACTTCTATTAGACATTTAGCAAGAATTACTTCTAATTTGTTGTTCTTCTCACTGAATTGACATCTAAAGATAAATTAGAATTGAGACTTTAAGAACAAAGGGCTTTTTAAGATTTAAAGGCAATTTTTATCATAGTTCTAATTTTATTATATCCAGATATTATGAAGATCTTTTATTTAGAGACTAATACTTTTTACTTTGTATTAGAAGTTGTACTATCACAAATCAAAAAGAATAGGAAGCTCTACTTAATTGCATTCTATACTAGAAAGTTTTTAGTTATGGAGATCAATTATGAAATTCACAATAAAGAGCTTTGTGCAATTATAGACTCTTTTCAAAAATAGCATTAATTGTTGGAAGGTGCTACATATCATGTGATTATATATATAAATCAAAAAAATTTGGAATATTTCATGTCACATTGAATTTTGAATTGCCGCTAAGTTCATTGGAATATCTCATTATTTTGTTTTAATTTTATAATTAGATATAAATCAAGAAAGCAACAAAGATTATCAAATGCTTTATTAAAGAAATCATATCTTCTTCCAAAGGTCCAAAAAGTAACATTTAATTAACAATATATTACTATTTTTAAGCCAAAATAATTTTATTTATATGCCACTTCTATGATTATAGCTAATGATTTAAGTTTTTTTGAACAAATTCATATAGTATCAACTAAGGACTCATTAATCCATAATATCAAGCAATGCCCTAACAAAGATAAGTTCAAATTTATGGAAGATATTTTATGTTTTGAAGATTATTTATATATTCCAAAAAGATCAATGCAACTCTGTATTCTTTGATTTCGTCATGATTTTCTAATTATAAGACATTTTAGATTTAACAAAATATTGAAGCTTATCTCTCAAGATTTTTGGTGGCTTCAAATATGGAAGATCATGGAAGACTTTGTCTTCTTGTGGGACATCTATTTGAGATCTAAAAATTCTCAACATCATCATTATGGACTTCTATAGCTACTTCCAATCCCAAAGCAACCATGGTCTTCAATATCAATGGATTTCATCACCAATATGCCACCATTAGTTACATTTGATGATATCTATGTTGTTGTGGATCAACTTACAAAGATGGCACATTTTGTCCCATGTAAAAAAATAATTTCCAAAAAAAAAATGGCAAGGTTCTTTTTTGATAATATATATTAATATTATACCTTATCTAATGACATCATTTTTGATTGAGGACTTCAATTTATATCAAAGTTTTAAAAAACATTTTTTTAGATATTCAAGGTAGAAATTAAACTTTTTTGTACATTCTACCTTCAAACAGATGGTCAAATGAAACAAGTCAATGAAGTTTTGGAGCAGTATTTGGAATGTACCATCAACTGTCAATGAGATGATTGGACCTTATATTTATTTTTAGTAGAATTTCTTTATAGTAATACTCTTCATGCTTCAACTCAGCAAATACCATTTTATTCCAATTATGATTATTATCCGAATCTTGATTTGTTGATTACATCAAAGGATGAAAATCCATGAGCTAAAGATCTTATAAAACAATTGTTACAACTCCAAACAACTATAAAGTCCCATTTATAAGAAACTTAAGATTCTTACAAAGTATCTTCAAACGAATTTAAAAAAGAATTCCTCGCTTTTTAAATTACAGATAAAGTTTGGTTTCTTTGATAAAATATCAAAACCAATTGATCTTACAATAAGTTGGACTATCAAAAACTAGGGCTATTTTGTATTCAAAAGCAAATCAATCTAGTAGCTTATCTGTTGGAATTACTTGTATCTATGAAGGTACATCCAGACTTTTATGTTTTTTCTTCTTAGAAGCTTATTCAAAATCAACTATTCCAAGAAGAATACAACCACTACTACTTTGCATTGAAATAGATAAACATATAGAATATGAGATAGAAAAGATCTTTGATTCTTAACAAAGAAGAAGCAAGTTGGAATATTTTATTCATTAGCACGGCTATGATATCAATGAATCTATGTGGAAACTAGCAAAAAATCTAAATAATGCACCGTAAAAGGTATAAGAATTTCATTGATGCTATCTTCAAAAACCTAAACTTATTTTAAGATGATTTTTCAATGAAGTTACTGCTAGGATATTATATATAATAAAAAAATCAAATGTGACACTGATACTCCTTATAGAATTTGGAATTAGAAAGAGAAATGATATTACGGACATTTAGTAAGAATATTCTAAGAATATTCTATTAAATTCCAAAAGATTTTAAAAAGATTCTTAAAAAGTTCTTAAAATATTCTAGCAAGTTTTAGAAAGTTCTAAGAGGATTAAAGAAGTTGCTTCAAAAGCTTTTTAAGATTACTTCATCTTCAAGCAATAAAAGGACTTTTCGAGAAGCTTGTTAAGATTATTTCATCTTCAAGCAACATGGAAACTTCTTGAAAAGCTTTCTAATTCCTTATATATATATATATATATATATATATATATATATATATATATATATTTTACAGTTAAGGTTGATGATATCCATAATCTTGACAATATACCTCTTGGAGTTCTAGCTCATCTTTCTTAGTGTTCATCTTGTACTCATTAAGTTTAATTAAGTTCTTATTAGTTTTTTTGTTGAAATTCTTTCATTCAATTTTTTGTTTGGTCTCTTGTATAGTGTATCTATGACAATTGTCTACCTCAAATATAGATGTGTATCAAAGATTCATCCAACAAATAAATTCCTAGTTCTTATCTACGTTTGAATAATTTAAAACAAAAAATACATTACTTTTGTTGTATAAAAAAAATATTTTATGTTTTGTATAAATTTATGTTTTTTAGTAATTATAATATTATTTAATAATAATATATTATCAAGAATATTATATTTTGTATCAAAAACTTTTGTACAATTTACAATGTCTTTTGTAAACTCTAAGAAATTTCATTATATTATTTAATATAATTTTATGTATTTTATAAATTATAATCTATCATTAATTAATCCAAAAATTCTATCATATCCACAATTTATTAAAACAAAGTTTATTTGTCCAATAATTACCATTTTCAGCACAAAATAATTTGTCATAAGTATGTTTATTATACTATTGAATGCTTTCAACTACTTAACAATGATATTAGACAATCCTTCATTGCTTTACCCTCTATGAAATTCAACTACATACTTTCCAAATCCTCAATTTTATAATCAAAAGTTGTAAACTAAACTATTAATTTTTTCCTTTTCTAAATACTTTTGAACACAAGCCATAGGGCACACACCATTAAGGCAAGTTGTTAAATTTCATGGTTTATCATTGACCATAAAGTGACGTAAAATAGCTAACATTTGAAAATCGATTGTTGCTAACTAGCAATATTTCATCGGCTGTCGAAAATTGAATTAGTCATGCAATAAAAAAACACATGAAGAACACATGAAGAATGTGTATCAGATAAGAACCTGCCATGAAGCTTACATTACCATAATATCACTAAAGACAGTTGGTTTAAAAACAAATGAACCAACTATGTTTCTCTGGGAATGAGACAGAAGACTATTATTAAAACAAAACTACATAATTTTAAAATTGTTTCGGAGCGGTAAAACTGAAGAGAGCAGAAACTCTCGAATACAGTTACTTCTAACTGAAGCCCTAACGATGAGAATTGATGGCAATCAATTCAATAGCTAATCCATAGTATAACATCAAGCACAGTGAAATTGACAGTCAAGTGAATCAGTCACTTGTAGTTTCCTAATCTATCTAATACTCGCAATTTCTAGGCAGATTTCGAATAACGTTGTTCTTGAGAGCAATTTTGGAACGGATGTATTCAGCCCTTTGAGAAGCCTTCCGCTGCTGCTCCTCAGGTTTGTTGCGAAGGCGCCACTGTTGTTCTTGGGTTGCCAATCCCATACTTCTGTATCTCGCAACAAGTGCATTAACCACAACGCCGTTACGGTTATCTGAGGGAGCAGGTCTTTGCCGGAAGTAACGCGCCATATCCCTTGACCCAATTCTCTTGACAGTTCCCGCTTCATCACCAGAGCCCTTAATAACAAGTTCATGACCTCCGGAAGCTAATGATACAGAAGACTTGAGACTATCCACGGAAACCAACTGGAAATCCTCCGGTGTTTTGTAACTAGAACTAAAATCGTAATAATCCTCCAACTCCTCCTCGGCAATCCCTTCGCCATCGCCATAGCGCAGCTTACAGTGGCTCTTATTTATCATGTGCTTTCGGACTGCTTCCGCACTGTGAAATTGTTTTCCTCGCTCGTCACAATAGAGGCACATATAACCTTTGGTAATTTTCAAACCTAGATAAGTCAACAAGCCTATGGGGTCTTTCAAATACTCAGCATCGGGAATAAAGAAGCCGTGCTCTCTGTGCATGTGATCTATGCAAACCTCAATACTTTTGAGATCTTTACCACAGAATAGACAGTCATTACAGTTCCAATGGCCTGCGAGTGGATCGTCGCTGGGATCGTCTTCAGCCATATCTGCAACTGTGTCATCCTTCTCGTCCTCGACTAAGTCCTCTTCGCTAACTTCTTCCCATTCATCCTCGCTCTCCTCATCTTCGCAATTATTTTCGCACTCTGTGCCTTGTTTGGCTCTGGAATCACCGTAGACGGCTTCATCGGAGCTGGACGAGTTCCAGCAACACCTGAAACAAACCATAAAATTAACTAAGAATAACACTCTAAACGAAACCGTGGAAAGACAGATACATCGTTACGGAAAAAATTGTATTGTCGATCAGGACAGGCATGATTGAGACAAAGGACGCAAACTAATAGCACGGCCTCGAAACCACAAAAATATGAAAATCGATGAGCCCATTCCAAATTCGAGCGACCTAAAAATTCACACACAGCTCCATCCATGCCTTAGCAGTGGACAGAAAACCTCACAGTACCTGCATCACCAGGCGCATCCGCGCTGGCTGCTCGCGTAATATGAAGCTTCGATTGCAAGTGATTGGCGTGAGCTTTCGAGGTAGTGTATTCCTTGTTGCAGAGCGCACACTTGTACAGCAACCGAGCACCTTCCTTCTTGCTCTTCTCCGCTTCAAGAGCCTCAATTCGAAGATTAAACAAAGCTTCCGTCACGCCGGGCACCCCAGCTACCTTACGCCGCAAGTTGTAGCGGTGCCATTCAGTCTTGTAGTGCTTCTTCTGCGTCTCCTCGTCCGCAAACGTTTCGTTACAAGCATTGCACGCGAGCCCTCTCATCTTCTCCACCTCCTCCTCCTCTTCTTTCTCTCTTTCTTTTGGTGTCTCTCCCTATCTCTCTCTCTCTCTCTCTCTCTCTCTCTCTCTCTCTCAGTTTCTAAAATCTAAACCAAACTCCGCAATACTTTAGAAAAGAAATCCTCAAACCATCACTATCTGCTGCTCAATCCCCTCAGTCTGCAAGGGCACAACGCAAGAAAATTCGATAGCGTGGGATATATACTTGAAGCACACTGCAAGGGACAGAATTGGAAGCTTGGAAGGTTCAATGGAAACATGAGTTGGTCGGTTTCCCATCAGAGAGATATTCGAGTTGTGCTCATGCAACCCTAAATCAGCCAAAAGTGTCTCTCCGGAGAAGAATCCCACGAAGAATCGCGGGTTTAGGGTTTGACTCTCGAGTGTCCTCTGTTCCATCCTGATGAGTTACATCCACATTCTCATCCTAGTTTTCATCTTCCTTTTTAATCCATTTTTCATCCAAATTATATCAATCAGTAGAATGCTTTTTATCTTTCATGTTCTACTTAGTAACTTAATACCATATTTTTTTTAATATTTATTCTTTTTTCTTATCCAAAGCTTTCAGTTTTCAAAAATTTGGGACTCATTGCATTTTAAAACCTTTTCATGATATTGAATAATGTGATATTGTAACTTGAACTGTAGTGCAAAATTAAAAATAAATACCTTTAATACAACATATATTAAACTTATTTATTTTTTTAATTCTTCAAAATTAAAATTGTAAAGTTAAAATTTTTTAATTCTTATCATCCATATTTAATTTCAATACATTTCATATAATTTTTTTCAAGTTCCTTACTGTAATCTTCATTGTGTCTTTAATTTTCTTTAGTCATAAATTTTTGATATTTAGATTCATTACCTTCATAATTAATTATAAACTAAATTCTTAATAATATTGAATCAATAATTTTTTATTATTTGTAACTTAAAATCAATATGACTATTTAAAGATAACTTAATTATCCTATGTAATAATTTTTACTTTAATACTTACTTTGAAGACAAATTGTTTTAAATGTTCTTCAACTTTAAACTCTAGAATATAAATCAATTAATTTCTCTTTTCATTAATATTAAAAAAAATCAAGTAACACTTAAAACAAAAAATCTTTAAGTATTTTTCTTATCAAGCTTTATTTGATAATATTAATAGATGTATGTTTTTAAACTTAGATTGTAAACAAATATATAATTGAGATATCATTCAAAAAAAAATCACATGACAATACATAATGATTTTTTCACATGACATAAATCCATAATATATGAGGTATTGCAAATCTATAAAATTAAATAATTTGAAGAAACACTAATCAAGAATACTACATTACATTACATTTATTTTATTTTCTTTTTTCTTTTTAATTGAGCATAGTAGGTATGTTACAATACTAATAAAAGTCATACTATAATCTATTATACATTTTAATCTAGTTTAATTTAATTTTTAAATAACTATTTTTTAATTTAAATAACTTAAAATAAGATTATCAATAAATAATATAAATTTTAATTAAAAGTATAAAAATTTAAAAAATAATATTATTAAATAAAAATATCAATTAAAAACTTATGTTTTATTATATATTCATGAAAATCATCATTTGAATTAAAAGAATAGAAATAGTTATATACATTCTTTATATAATAATGTGAATATAATTATAACTACATTATATTGGTATTGATAATTAATAATATATTTGAATTAACATTAAAAAATTATCAAATATAAATGAATAATTTTAAAAAATTGGTATATTGTTTAATATGTACTTTTGGATATTTCGATATTTTTAATACTATGATAAAATTAACTAAAAAATTCTAAAATATAGATTTAAATTAATAATTTTAGATTTAAATAAATAAAAAAATATTTTTGTAAACTTTGTGAGTTGGAAAAATTCGAAATTACGTTTTAATTAGTAAAATTTAATTTATATTACTTCTAGATAATTTAAGAAAATGATTACTTAAATAATTTTATAAATAATATGAAAAATAAACCATCATATAATAATTTTTCAATTAATAATGATTTTGAAATGTTTTAAATTTAATTAAATATAGTTGATTTATGTTGTAATAATAATAATAGTAATAATTAATATTTATAAAAGTATAAAAAAATAAGACTACAGCATAAGTAAATAGACCTTCTACTTAAGTACAAAAGTCTTCCAAATTCTATAGAAGCTAGGTTAGAATTGAAATATGTTATTAGATTTAAATTACTAGATCGAATTACAAACTAAGTTAGAATTTTAGGAATATTGACTATCTAAACTTGAAAGTCTTGTCATAAGTAGTGTTCTTAAGTTGATGCATTTAATTTCTACATTCTAAAATTAATAATTTTTATTAAAATAATATATTAGAATTATAATTTTTTATCTCTTTCACACAAGTCTATTGTATATTACAACTTCTAAACTATCATATTCTTATAAAAGACATAAACTACAAAAAAATCATAAAAATGACAATACACTCTTATATCATTAAAAGAAAGAAATTAGACAGCTAAAAAATAGATATAGAATTAAAACTAAAATGATTATTGAAAAAAATAAAAAGACTAAGAAATCTTGAATTAAGATAGAGTACAAGTAAAGCATTGACAAGAATAGAAAAGGCATCACTCTTGCCTCCATATATACTATCTATTAAAGAGCTATATAACAATGTCTTATAGGCTATGTGACACATGTTCAACTTACAAGACATACTTTTAATTTGTAGAATAAATTTCTAATATGTACACCTTACAACCAACTTGTAATACAAGGGATTAGATGTGCAATATTTGGCCAATTTATTGGCCAAGTTGTCAACCTATTAATCACTTCTAAATACATATAAAATCTACATTGGTTCTAAAAAGCTTCTTAATAAGATATCAATAATTTAATATACTTCTACTTCTTTCTATTTGATTCTATTAATCCAAGTACATATACTAGTGAATATATCTATCTATTAGATTACCTTTTCTTTTAGATGATAAGTTCTATGAAGAGTTTTATTGTTTCTTCCTAAATTAATGAAGTCCAAAATCCATCAAATGATATTACCAACAAACTTAGATCTTTATTCTACACAAAGGTGGTTGATAGATCCATGTAACCATCAATAATGTTTTATGCCAAAACAAGCTTTTTTATAAATAATATTTTACACCAACATCAATCTTCTAAGAAAGAACATGTTTTTTTTAAATATCTTCACAACAATTGGAACAATGTCTATGCTGGTACAAATTAAGTGTTTCATCTAGTACTATTGCAAATAACAATTCTTAAAGTAAATCTATTAATAGTTACTTCTCTATGTTTGTAAAAGAATTCTACAAGTTGATTCTTAAATATGTTTTTATTTATTTATTTATACTAACTTATTATGAATAACTAGTCTCTGCTTTAAATAATGTTATTAATAAAAATTAGAAATAAATTTTGATGTATTTCTTAGTTTCTCACATTACTTCTATGTGCATTTATTAAGATTATATCTATACTAGTGAATAAGATATTTCAATGTTTTTTACACCACTATTATAGAATATATTTTCTTGCTTGAAAATATACCAAAAATTTGGTTGTAGAAGATAAATTGGAAATTGCAACAAATAAAAAAGCTTAATAATCCTAATAGAATCTTAAATAAACTACAATTAAAACTTAAAATTTTCATTCAAATCTTAATCAAATCCTAAAATGTCTTAAAGAAATTTTAAAAGAATTATACAAAATACTAAAAAAAATTCTAAAAAATGCTATATAAATTCTAACCAAATTCTAACCAAATTCTAATTTAATCCTACAAATTGTAATAAAAATCTAATAGAATCCTTCAAAAATAAAAAATAAAAAAATCCTAAAAAATTCCATATAAATTCTAAATAATCATATCCAAATTTAAAAAATTCTAACTAAATTATAATCAATCATAATCAATCTTTATGGAAAATTTAAATTTCTAATAATTATTGATTAAAATATTATTCTTACTTGAAACTTTACACACATTATAATATACCAATTAACAAAAAGCATAATAATTTTGATAAAATTAAAATTTTCCACCTTTCTTTTTTAAATCTTGATCTTTATCTTCTACTAGTAATAATTTCTTATTAAATAGTTCAATAGCTCTTAAAATTAGCAAAACTATTTTAAATTTAATTTAATATTAATTTACAAAAATTTGCTTCAATTCAAGTAAGATCTCAAAAACTCTCATTGATCCTAAAAATCAAATATTTAAGATCTTAATCCAATCAAATTTTAATATATTTTAAATTAATTATTTGATTGATATTAAATTTATAAACTATATTCAAGATAAAAAAAATTTACAACTCTACAAAATTTCATCCATCTATTCACTATATTGCTTATAAATTTCTCAAATATATAAATTTCTTTTTATTTTTTAAAATGCAAAATCATTAAAAACATCTTTAATTTTGGAAAATTCTCAGTAATTTAAAATTAATCCAAATTACTTGAAATCAATGCTGTAATAGACTTTTGCAAGTCACTTCTCTAACTTCACTCTTCAATATACAAAAGATCCTTATAATTATTATAGGTGCACAATTTTTTGTCGTAAAATTTGGTTTTGACCCTGATTTACAATTGGTCCTACCAAAGTATCAATTTTTAGCTTTTTAATGTATTTTTTGCTAAAGACTATTCTTAATTCTTTCTTAAAACTGAATAATTTTTTTTAATCCACCTTAGTAATCCTTTTCTAAGGTTCTATAAAGTAAATAAAAATACTTTTTATAAAACTTCAAGATTAATTCTAATTATATTCACTATCTTTGAATAACAATGTACAACTTTTTTGTTTGAAAAATAATTTCGATATAAAATTTTCACACCAAGAATTTATTTTTGTAAAAAAAATTGTTCATAATTTCTTGTATTTTTCCATGAGATGCAAAAGATAATAAACAAAAGTTGGTAAAAAATAGAAAAAAATATAAAAAAATAAAAAACAAATAAAGAATTGAAAATAAAGATGTACTAATCTTTTGTTGAGAAAAAAATATGAATGTAGTAGAAATCAATAATCTAATGAAGTTTATAACATATATTTATTATATACAAATAGCATAACTAAATTTAATTATTTCATTAATGCAAATTATCATAGAAATACATATTTATTTTAATAATTATCTAAATAATATGAATAGGTAGAAATAAGTAAAAATAGATTAATTTGATAGTATCTTATAGAAAAGCTTTTTAGGAGCTTTATAGATGCGGCTTTGACTT